CTACAGACAAGATATCGATTTACAAACAACAGGTTAAGGAACCTTGTTTTATAGTGAACTTTCTTACCGGCTACCTTCGTATTTTCACACATACTGGAATAATGTTTCACCGTTGATAGCAATTGTCTCATTGAGGGGCATTCTGGAAACTGTTTGTTAAACCAATTCCTGTGTGATCAGTATGACTAGCCTTCGTGCCAGTTGTTTTCTCATGTGAATACCATCATAGAGCATGACAGTGAAGATTATAAACCGGTATAAGCCAGTTTCGACCAGTGAGGTCGGTTCAAATCGGCCAGACCGGTTCAGATCAATGAGGCCGATTTAGATCGATTTCGACCAGTCGATCCAAAATCCAGCCCGCTATCGGATCGGCCCGGCCGATTACCAATACCGGTACCATCTCTGACCAATACCTTTTACTGCTTCTCCAAACTATCGTAGAAGTAGCAATTGTACGTATTCTTTTTCTGTTGTGCTGCTCAAATTCATATAAGTAGTAAAATTACGCCCAAACTATCCATAAAATGGATACAGTTAGAAGAAGCAATACATTTTTATTGTTACCCGAAACATTTTTAGGGAAGCGATTCGTTTCCTTCGCTACGATAGCTTGTCGCCTATTTATATACCCAACACTGACATTCACACCCACATCCACATCCAGCACCAACATCCACATCCAACACTCACACCACACTGACGTGAGTATCCACTGACATCCACACCAAAACACCAACATCTTTACCCAACATTCACATTCACACCCAGCAACCACCGCAAACACCCACACTCAATAACTACCCACATCCAGCACTTACATCTATCCAAGATACTAACACCCAGATCTACACCGTATATCCACCACACACCCAAACCAAGCACGAACATCTATACCCAACATTCACATTCATATTCACACCCAACACCCACACCCAACACCTACATCCACACCCACACCCACTAGAGAACTGCGGATCCACGTTGTTTTGCACCCAGACGTGGTCCTCGATCCGACAAAAAATTGAATTTTGGACTCAGGCCCGATCAGCCCCGAGCTTTTTTCACAAATATCGAGGATTAGATAGTTGTCGGTCCACCTTGTTGTGAATCCGGGTCCGAACCTAGACCCAGCAATAAATTGAACTTTAGATCCAGAACTGGACTCGAACCCGACAAAAATTTAAACCGTGGACTCGGACCCGCAGCTCTCTAACAGCCACACCACCCACTCACACCTTACAGGCACACTCACACCTTACAGGCACACCCACAGCCACACCTTACACGCACACACACATCCATACCCACACCCCACACCCACCCACACTCACACCCACATCACACCGACACCGCGCACCCACATCACAACCACACTCACACCACACATCCACACACACCCATAAAAATGTCACAATGACTACAATCGATTATACGAGATAGTGATTTTTCTTAATGAATTAGACAGGCAAATCACAGAAAAAAATGACACGTCCGCTATGTTCAATTGGCGAGAGAGACACAAGGGCGCTGCTGCTGTTGTGTCATTTTGTTACCAAACCATCATGTGGGAAAGAGAGCTTCCTGTCGAAGCGATAAGGGTGAACATAGGAAAATAAAATTGCACTGCTAAAAGATAAACAAAATGGTCGTAGTTGGTTGATACGAAAACTAGCGAACACACACAATTTATTAAAAATTGTGTCGCTATCATTCTCCATTGCAGAAAATTCTCTGATTCTGTTTCAACTTGAAGAAAGTGATTAAACTAATGCATTAACGAAAGTGAACAAATAGGGCTCAATCAATGATTATTTTAACTAGTCTTGATATTTTTCTATTTCAATAATTGAAAGAAAATGAAAATAGAAGTGATAATGTTTTCTTGATCATTATGTTATTCACTAATCTTTCAAATACCTAGAGATATGCTTATTTCTTCGAAGAACTTTTCGGTTGGAAGATACATAACCTCTCTATAGTGGACACCTCCATATAGTGGACAGTTTTGAAAAGTCAAATGGGTGTCCACTATAGAGAGGTTTTACTGTACATTATTGATTATCATCATTGACTAATATTTTCGCTTAATATTGAAACAATATAACCAAGATAGACATATATGTGAATGATGCCGATTCATTCAATCGGCCATTATATAAATGCTGTACTATATTCAGGGTTGCCAGATTGTCCGAATTAGTCTGAATTTTCAGACTTTTCTAAGTTTTTCAGACTGCGTTCCGACTGTCCGAATTTATCCGAATTCTCGGATTTTTTCCGAATCGTAGTATTTTTTTTAAATTTCCTGTCCATTACAATTTTCCATATATATTTTGATAGATTTCATATGGCGCCATCTTTATTTTCTTATAATCATTGGGTAATTGATTGTATTATTAGAGATAAGAGGAGAAGAGAGAGAAGAAAAGATTTAATATAATCTTTTTTTCAAAACTTTTCAAATGTTTTTCAAATTTATTAGAATAGCTTCAATCAATATTTAGTCAAATGAATCATCTATGGTCTAATTATCGCAATCGAATGGATATAGAATTAGTTGAAGCTGAACTACAAATCCGAATGAATTCTGATATTCATTGTTCACGTTTTTATGACTTTCTTTTAATTCAAGACGAAGTATTGACAAAAATAGCTTCAAATGAAAAAGTTGTTAGAAAGACACGTCTTGATAAATGAACTTTAGTGTTTCTCCATAAGTGTTTTGAATTGTATATATACATATGTATAGATAGTGTATTTTGAGTTGTTTTTCTTGTATTAACAGTATCTTCTTGAAAATGATGTTTCCTAATGGTGTTATAATTAACCCTTTGGGGACGGGCGTGGTATACATACCACTTAACGTATTTTACAAAATTTGAGAATGATATATATTTCAAATCAATCAGAACTGAGTGGAAATAAACTGTAGAATAATATGATTGTATCTGTACAATAAATTACCAGTATTCGAAAAGTGTCGAAAATATCTACACTATTTATATGAAACGTAAAATTCAAAGAATTTACAGTTAAAAAAGGTTCGTGTTCAACTGATAAAAAATATACTATGTCAAACTATGGTTATCAAAAACGAATTTCTATCGGAAGACCATCAATTGATTCACCGCTATGCTTATCTGCTAGACATTTTCCAGCACTTGCATTCTAAACTATCTCAAAAATAACTACTCAACGGAAATGTCATGTATCTTCTCATACAATAAAGCGTGAAAAGTCAGTCAAATATAGAAGATATCAGTGTGACGAATGTGATGTTGGGTTATACGTGATTGATTTTTCTAAAACTTATCATATCCTAGAACACTTTTGATAATGATTTTTAATTGAATAAATATATATACTCACTAATAAAAATTTTAATTTTTTCTCAAAATCCCCGTCTCCAAAGGGTTAACACATTTATTTTAACATTGATGAAATATATCTACAGAAAGAATAACCAAATGCAGAAGACTTTTGTTAGAAAAAATTCGCTTAAGCGTCAAAAAGCTTAAAAATGACTTTTCGAATTTTTTCCGAATTAAGCAGATATTTTGTCCGAATTTTTCAGAATTCCAGCAAAAGAATTCCGATTTGTAAGATTTCGATCTGGCAACCCTGACTATATTGATTATTAAATCTGTAAGAAACGGATAGATGAGTGCATTGAATACATATAACAACATGATTACTCTTTCGCCGATAATTATTGTCCAAATAATTCTGATCTAATGCTGCAATTCTACTAAACTATCTGAATCATTGAATATACGATTTTCAACATTGTGAAACATACTCAGCAAAGAATACAAAAAGTAACAAAATAAGTTTATAAATGCAGATATACACAATGAAATTGAAAAATTAATTCTCATTTAACATTAGCATAATCCCAATTACATGTTCAGAAAAAAGATTTCTGATAACAAATTTCTTTTCTTTATCATTGGCATAAACATCACATATGTCTGATGTTCGCCATACAAAATGTAACATGTATACAACTTGATGGACATATAAAATTGGCATATATAAAAATTTAGATAAAAGTAAACTGGACATCCATTGCCCTGAGTACCTCATACCATGCTATCTATAGAAAACATTCATTTGTCGCATATACATACTGTCTTGTATTATTTGATAGGCCCAACATCTTACTTTTTTAATATTTATTCTCACGTTGTATTACTCATCACCTGTGTGTTATACAAAATATCAATTTTTTAGGCAAATCTTTGGCTTAAATTGACTAATAAGGATATGTAAATCGGATGGCTTGTTTTCATTACTTTCTAATCTTGAAGAAAAAGATAAATAGTATTTTTTTTATAAATAGCAACAACACGTCAATATCCCTGATTGGACAAGAAATGTAGAATCATTTCCATTCCTTAGTTTGCTTGTCGCACTACATATTTTTGATTATAATGTCTATTAATTGTTAGACTTGTCTTCATTTTTTCTATTGTGTTGGTCGATTGATCGATAGTCTGTTGACAATGATCGTTTATTACGTCAGATTTGAACAATCAAGCTCTTTGTTTTCTTAATCTATTTATACATGGCCATCATTCATTCTGTGATAAAACAATCACCTCTCAAGTACGCTCATAACAGGTGATATTATGTACTTTCGATATTTTCCTTACATTTTTTATTTCGCCAAAGAAACAACGAAAAATTTCTTCAAGCTGCATATATACATGTACATGATAAGCGAAGAGAAGTTGTCTTATGTCTCTAGACAAAATAATTAGATAAAATTCAATTGAAATATGATATACGCATTGATTATATGTTTATTTTAGATTTTCTAAACGTAAAATGACAAACAAGAATTACACATATGAGTATATCGATGAATCATCGATTAATTATGAATTAATTTGTCAAATTTGTTCAAAACCATTTATTCAACCAACAGTTACACCATGTGATCATACATTCTGCCATCAATGTATTGACAAATGGGTGTCAGAAAAGTATCAATCATGTCAATATGTCGACGATACATAAAATCAATTAAAAAATGTATACCAGCTAGTCGTATTATTACAAACATGCTCGATCAGATTCCAGTAAAATGTTCAACATGTGAACAGACATCATTAACACGTGGAAATTTTAATGATCATATAAATAAAACTTGTCCAAATATTAATATACCATGTTCAGCCAGTAATATAAAATGTCCTTGGATAGGATTACGTCATGAATATGAAACACATTTATCAACATGTAAATATGAAGCATTACGCCTAGTACTTACCCAACTGATCAGTGACAATGAACAACTTCGGGAAGTAAACCAAAAACTAAATTCTCAACATAAAAAAATGAATATTCATATGCAACAAGTTCTTGCTGAAAATCAAGAATTTAATCTTGAAAATCAAAAACTTAATCTAGAAATTCGAAAACTTAACCTTGATAATAAAAAATTACATATTGAAAAAGAACAAATTTATTTTCAAAATCAACAACTGAACGATGAAATTCAAGAAGTTCGTCAAGAAAATCAATGGTTAATACTTAAACAACAACAACTAACCCAAATGGAACAACAAATTATTCGATTTAATCAACTTAGAAACAAAACATTAAGTATTCAATTTATGTCGATGTAATTTAACAAGTGGACGAAAATCGGAACTTCTACAAGCAGTTGTAGAAAGAAAAGATTTTCAACTTATTATTTAATTCAATGTTATTTGTTGTTTTCTTATTTTTGTTTTACTTTATTGTTAACTTTCATGTTGAATTGAAAATAGATATTGATAGTTTGAAATGAGTTTTGCCAATATTGTATATGATAAAGAGTGAGTTACCATAATAAAGTTTATCATCATATATTCTGATTGAATTGTTGCTAATCAAGTTGTATGTTCATCATCAGAAGAGAATTTAAATTCATGTGAAAGATATGCATCAGGAGTGTCTCTTCAACACAAATATATTAAAGAAATTGGTTTTTTCTTTATTAAAATATTTAATAAAGAGTTTGTTTTTGACTTTAGATTGATGATCTTTATAAAGATTCTAATGGTATTACATTATTTTTACTTGATGATGAAGTTCGAGATACAACGAATATAAATCTATTTTCTTGATATCTTATCAAATAGTTTAAACCATAAATTAATTATACACTTATATTATTTAGAAAAGATGAAATATATTGAAAAAAACACCAACTTTAATTTTCTTTTTTTTTGTTGTTGACAGAATATAATTAATGCATATGAATACTGAAATATTTTTGGTAGAAGTCTGGCTCAAGTGTTTAAAAAGACCAGTAGAACAATTTTTAGAAATATTTTCTATAAACAGATTTTGCTTCTCTATTGATGAATAAATATTTTCAAATATCGGAAGACACAACTGCTTTAAGAGTTTTTTCAGTACGTGTAGAGTAGATATAAACAAGATGTGAAGTCCAAGAATTAATACAGTGTCACTTTTTACGAACATGGGAAGGAACCATGATTTCCTTACAAATCCCTGATTATTGCTTCTCTATTTTATTTTTATCTCAAACTTCGAAATAATAATAGTTGAATTCAATTGGCAACGTAATAAATTATAATGAAGAAACTAGTGAGAAAAAAACCTCATTATAAGAATACTTCAATAAAAAAATTCTTGATTAAGAATTATGGACAGTTGGTCGTTGAATGTTTTAAGAAATTTTTTCACCATTTCTTGGCATTAATGAAGCTGTTAGTTTTTTCAAAGTTATGAGATATGATTACATGATTATTTTTTCTATCAAGAAAATAAAAGAAGATATGATTTAGATTAGTTATTATATTTTGAGTGTGTGTACTGTCTTCATGCAAACCACACTCACACCCATAACAAGTCCTAGTATGCGTAGATTATGATTCAAATTTAAAAGTAAATTATTTAAGCACTCATATGAAAAATTAAAATATTTTTTTTTGTCTGAATTAAGGCTCCTAACAGAGTGAAAAATGTTTCTCTGTGTTCTGTCCTGTCTTGCTTCCACCTTACCCTGTCCTTACCTGTTCTCCTCTGCCCTGTCCTATCATAAATAACGCGGTCGAGTGGCACGTTCTCTGAAAATATTTTGCGAATAATTGAATGTATTATAGGCTTTCTTTATTTACTCTCTACCAAAAATACTGTAACATATAATCAATGAAAATATTTTCGTTCTACATTAACCAATGATCGTTTCAAGGAAAAACAACACATTAGTGAACAAAACCAAATATAAATTATAAGTGACTAGAGCGCAGACCACATGAAAAATTTTCACAACAAATTAGTTTCCAATTGATTTTTTTCTCATTACTAAAAATAGATTAAAGTCGAATTTTTCAAACAAAAAAGTGAATCACTCCAATTTTTCGGATTTTAAAATACTTTGCTGAATTCATGATTCAATCAAAATATCCCACTAGAATTTTGTTTCTACAAACAATAGCCAGCAACGACACCTTCTAGGCTTACTGTTTCGAATGAAAGTGGACAATTTTCAGTACAATTCGTATCGGACAAAGTAATTGAAACATGTGTTCTGTTCTGTCCTGTTGAGAATTCAGAAGCTACCCTGTCAAAAATTTACAAATTGTCACGTCGTCCTGCCCTGTCCTATCATATCCTGCAAGGTATCTTGTCCTATTAGGAGCCCTGGCCTGAATATAATCCAATATTCTTTGCTATGCATTGTTTTTTTTGAAATATGAAATATTTATGTTTTTGATTCGAGATGATAATGAGAAGGTATAGGAAATCTCTACCCTAGAGAATATACTGAGTTAAGGGTACCCAAAAAAGTACCCTGATACCAGTATGTCACAGGAACTTTTGGGTACCAAAGTACTTGCAGGTACTTACAGGTACCTAAGTGGTACTTTGGCAAGTACCCTGCTGGAAAATGCACAGTAATTGGGTACCTAAAGGTGCTGATCAAGTACTGAATTGAGTACCATTGTATAGTATTTCTAAGTACCCTGTTACCAAATTTTCAGTATGTTCAGGATCGAACCTGATCTTTGACTTTTTAAAATTTTTTCTTTTTCTTGAGATAATTTACTAGATTTTTTTTTAACTTTATTCAATTTAATTTTTTCAATTCCAAAAACTTAGCAGGAACAATGTCGGGATCCGACTCAACTTGAGTTGGTCGTAGACCACTTCAGGGTAGTCCGATCTTAATTTACGACCAAGCTCGGTATTTCCTCGACTAAGAAATAGTCAAGAAATAATTTAGAAAAAACTAGTATGAAAATTGATTATTTTCTTATGATTTATCGACTTGTTTATATAGAGCCGTATGTAAAAAAGAAAACGGTGAATGAATAGTCGCCACACAGAACGCGAAAAATTTAGGATACCCTGTCGAGATTCCCTCAGTAAAGTTACAGACTTGTGTATCCATGCAGGTACTTATTCAGTGAATGTACTTTTACAGGTACCCCAAACAGTACATACATCAGTAAAATTACTGAGAATTTTCAAAGTACCCATATTGGGTACCCTGCTAGAGCTTTCTCAGTACATGGGTACCCTGAACTCAGTACTTTCTCTAGGGTAGGATGTAGATAAGTATGTGGAAGTAGTGTGGATGAGGGTTAGGTATGGGTGAATCTTTTCATCATATTAAACCACAAGCACCCACACACTTATGTAAACAGCAAGAGATGAAAAGCATCAAAAAGACTCTTGCTTAATGATAACAAATAAATTATGTCACTGACATAAGATATTTTAGTTTAGACAGGATACTATAATATTTGATTATTTAGCTTTTCTTTTCTTTTATCGAATGAGTCTCTTTTGGTACATCTAATTCCTCATTTTGTGTTTATTTTTTATGGAATATGATGATAACTATTGATTGTTTTATGAAATATAAAATAATGTCATTTCCACAAATAATTAATCTGTTCAAAGCTTTTTCTGTTCTCATTACTAAGTTCATAATTATCAAAGAGAAAGATCTTAGTACCGGTTCTAGTATTATAACACTTAGTTTCAGAAGAAGAGATGAACTAACAAGGATTAGTTTATTTTTAGAAAAGATTGAGAATACTTTCAGAAGGAAACAGAGATACTTAACAATTGTTTGAAATAGTTTTCACATTGAAGCAATATATTTTAAAGTGGTGTTGAATCCACTATGAAATATAGCGTGAACTTCATTGATGAAACATCAAGGCTTAGAAGCCAAACAGTTTGTAGTTCAGATGTTGACTGTTAGTTTTGTTCGCAATGGTTATTGTCTTAAAAATTGATTAAAGTTTGAATAAATTCGAAAATGGAGAGTCAGTTTTTGTTCTGGAAGTGTAAGATAGATTGAAAAGTCAAAAGACCACAGTAGATAATCTGCTTGTCTGCCACAATTATCTTCATAAAAGTTTATTTGTAGATCTAGATTTCTCTTTTAATTATTTGATAGTCGTCCACAAGATGTTGACCTTGAAATCAGTTATATTTCTGATGATGTCTAATCAACATTTCTGTTAGAAATACTCTCGATGTATAAAATTCTTATTGCTCTCAGACCATTTATTCTAATGATGATGTTAGCAAAGGATATTAAACAAGGCTAAAAACTTCATAACATAAGAGCTGAATGATTTTTTTAATAATTCGAGAATATCATCATTGTTTAATGCTATGCTTTCATTGTTTTCGGTAGCATTTTCATTGAAATTTTTCTTTTTTCTTGAAACAGATGAGAAATAATCATGAAAATAGTATCATCAATCAAAAGATAAATCCAAAGATCTCGTATAGTATTTATCTGTGATTCAATTCAAATAAACTTTTAACAAATGAATACTCTCATAAAAGTCAAGATGACAATCAAATATGACAGTTCCACATATTTCTAATTCAGACCCTGTAAACCATATCAATAATTCTTTACACTGATTTTATTTGTCGGAGAGAGTTATAGTTTTTTATTTTAAATAATAAACACAAAGTGAGACATACGAAATATAGGCAAAACTGCTTAGGGAAAACAAAGACAAACAAAACAAAAATAGGAATGAGAAAAATTGCACTGATATAATAGGATTTAGATCTATGACAAATATAAACACCGAGTAAAAGGAAGGATCAAATAATTTTTTATAATGTTTTACAAAAAAGAAAATATTTCTTTTTTTTTTTTTTTTACATTATTTGTTCGATAATTTAAATATTTGTTCAATTTGTTTTTCTGACCATGGTTGTTGCCATTTTAAATAATGTTGAAAAATTTTTAATGAATGTCCTTTATTATTAAGAAAATTTGATAAACGTTGTTTAAAATTTTCTTCCATATTACCATGTTTTGATGATATATGTAAATTGATACATTCACGTGATAAAACAACAAAAAATTCTTCATGTGAACAAGCATGACAACGATAAAAAACAGTATGTGTTAACCATTGTTTTGAAATTTCATTAGAAGATAAAATAATCGGTTTTGTTTCAAAAGATGGATTCATATCTGCGATTATTTCAGTTTTTATTGAATTTTTACGTGTACTCATTCGTATAGGTTTTATCATTGAATTTTCATCAATTTGATTATTTGACTTGTAAATTTTTTTACCAGAAGATGATTGTTTTCTATTATCATGTGATCCATTTATGATACGAATACGAGGTCTATCAATAGGAAAACTAGATTGATCATTTTCATTTTGTATTGGTTCTAGTTTTTGTTTTTTTAAAAAAATAGGACTAGAACTTCGATTCGTTTTTTGTTCTTCAACAATTGGGATAAAAGAAGTTTGAATTGGTTGTATACTTGTTAGACTAAAATATTCAAAGATATCGAATTAATAATATGGAATTAAAATAATTTTCATTATGATTTTTTTGCACGTTAGATATCTCAGAAGATCGATTATTTTAATTAATAACCTTGAGGATATCCTAAGAATTATGAATTCACATGATTTCAAATTTACTAGCAATACTTTCGTTCTATGATGAACATACAGCGGAGACTTCTTTGAAGTCTGCTCTGTAAGTTTAGTAGTGAAATACTTCAAGTGACTTCTCGAAAAGTCGAACAGTTATTTCATTATGAAATTTGATTGAAGAGTTCTAACTTAGATTCTAGAACTTAGGCTATACCAAACGTACGACATGCGCAAATATTTCTCTGAAATATCAATTGTTTTTTTTTATAAAAGATCCATAAAACCAATTTTTTGTAACACGAGAAAATTTCAATGACACCCTTCAAAACTATCTTAATAACTGCGATTTCTTGATTCATTCTATTCTTTGAATTGTTCAAATCGATATATTCTCATAAAAACCTATCCGATAGTAGCCTAATGATCGTATAACTGATGAAATCACTCTATCTATTCTATGCCACTGATCATCAAACTTGCGAAGTTTTAATAAAATGTGAATTCATCGTATGTAACGTAACATATTTATACAAAGCGATAGTAGTATCTAGGATGTGGATGTAACCATCATTTGTATCCACATATCCTCATCGAATAATATGCTGCTGAAAACATCATTCTAACTACTCAAAAGTCATATAGATATAGTTGGATATGAATCACTCTCTGTTTATATAAAAGTTGATTTTCGTTGACGTCTACAACTTATGGAATACTCTTTATAGAAAGAGAAGTAAATTTTTATAGTCCAATTAGAGATGATTGCTTGTTATCAACATACTCTCTTGATGATTGATGTTGTATTAAAGTTAAATCAGGTTGTACCGGATGTACGATTGAATTATTCATTTCATTATTTTCAATTTGAACAATAGAATTGTTATTTATTGGTATGGATGATAAATTGTTATCTATTTGTATTTCTGCATGATGATCATTATTGTCAATTTGAATATTAGATAATGATGATGATGATATTGTTTGATCATAACGTCGAATTTTAAATGGTATTGTAATTTGTTGATCATTATGTTGAAATGTTTGAAAATAATTTCTTTTAAAATTTTTTTGTAAATTTAATGAATAATCAGCCATTGTTTGTCGAAGAATATTTATAAATGAATATGCTGTATATGATATATGTTGTTGATTATCATTACTATTTATAATTATTTGAAATTCTTGACTAGCTATTGAATTTATTAAATGAAAATAAATATTTATATCAGAAAAATAATTATGAAATAAATTATTTGTTGATATTTTAACTAATGTATGAAAATTTGGATCAAATATTAATGGATATGAATTATTTGCATTTGTATTTAATTGTTGACGTAAATTTATTTTTGTTGGTAAATTTATTAAAAAATTTTCTTTATTAAATATAAATGAATTTTTATGAAATTTTTTTATTGATGAATATTGTTTTTTTAATCGAGCTCTTTTAATACTTGCATAAAAATTTTTTTGTTCACGTCGTGAATATTTATATATATGATATGATATTGATGATTTTGTATTTATTGTATTTAATAAAAATTTTTCTTCTAATTCATTATTATTATCATTGATTAGTATAGAATTAGTTGTATTACAAATTCTATCATCAAATGATGATTGTTTAGAATAAGGTATATATCCAATAGATAAAGGTATTTGTAAATATGTATTTGTTTTAGTTTTTGGTTTATATGAAATAAATTTATCATTAAATCGATGTAATTTTAACACTAGAAAATTAAAAAAACAAGAATGTAGATTATAAATAAATAAATAAATTTACTGTGAAGTAAATCATGATCTTTTTTATTTAATCGTGGTAAACTAATTGTTTCATTATTTCGTTTAGTTGATTTTTTCATATGACAATAGGAAAAATGAGATAACAGTGAAGAACGATTGCAAAATTCATCAAAACAAAAATGACAGATGAATTTTTGAAGTACTAGAAAAACAAAAGAATATAAAGGATAAGATAAAAAAAAACAAATCAAATAATTTTATAGGAAAATTGAAAACTAATATAAATAAATTATTATACCTGTCGATGAAGCCATCAGATCTGAATATTTAATAAAAAAAATAAATAATCACCGGAACTGTTCAATAATAACTTTTCTTCATAATCTATAATCAGACAATACTTATATAAGAAAAAAAAGAAAAGAAAAAATTTTAATCAAAAGTCAAAAAAAATGATTGAATCACAATTTCGAAAAGAAAAAGAAGAATATATATTCCTATCGATAATCTGTTATATCATTTGATATTGATGTATGTTGATCAAATTTAAATGTATCAATAAAATGTCCAGATATTTTTTGTTTTAATTTATGAAATAAATGTATATGTCTTGAATTAATTTGTGTTTGTTGATTTAAATCATATTCTAATTGTTCAATATGTTTTAAATCTTTAGCTTGTATAGCTAATGTTATTGATTGTAATAAATAAAAAAGTGTTTCATCTAAATATGACATAGGTATAGTTAATTTTTCATAAGATTCCCATGTATATGCATCTAAAGTTTTAGCATAATCTGAACGAAGACGTTGTGTATGTGGTTGTAATATAAGTAATAAAAAAAGACGTAATATATCATATGATGCTAATAAACATTTATAACTTATATCATTTATTGATGTTTTTATTAAACGTTCAATAAAATTTGTTATTGTTTGTAATGCTAAATTATAATTTTCATTATCAATACGTATATTAATTAAACGTTGATATATACATATTTGTATTGATAATAAATCATGAAATGAATCTAATGCCATAGAAAAAAGACGTTCACTTTCATGAAATTTTTCTAATATTTCTAAATGTAAACCAACTTGATATGTTATTAAACCAGCTAAATAACGTTCATTTTGTTCATATAAATTTTTTTGTGCTAATTGATATGTTGATAATGCTAATGATAAATTTTCATGATATGATAATGTATTTGTATCATGTAATTGTAATTCAATTTCAATAAATATTGCTGCGGCTTCAATTAACATTTGTAATTCACTTGTTGATGATTTTAATTCAGAAAAACAACGTGATGATTGTATTAAACAAAGACCAGCATATTCAAGACAATTTTCTTGACGAAATTGTCGTGATAATGATTGAAAATCAAGTGCTGCTTCAGCATATTTTGGTTTACGACTTGTTACAACACCACCAAAACGAACTTTTTTTAATTTACTATATATTATACGTAAACGTTCGATATGATCAATTGTTGGATCCATTTCTTTCTTTTTTTTGTTGCAAGAGTTTTTGATCTTAATAATAAATACGTTATTTTTGATAGAACATTATTATTTTTGTTTTGAATAAATATCGATTGGTTAATTGTTTATCTAGAATAGTGATTTCTAGCACTAAATAGATGTCACTATAATCGATTCACTTCTTTTGAAAGATGATATGCATATTATAAAAATATGTAATATTTTTGGTCAGATTACCAAAACTTTCATGAGTATATTTTGATGAATTGGTTTCATTTTTTTTTTCGTTTAATATAAAATCAAATTTTATCTACAAAAAAAACAAATTCCATTTCAAACTATAGAATTTAATTTAAATTCTTTTCTAAAATTTTGTATTTTTTCCCCATTGTATGTTAATCATCGTACGTCTAACAATAAGATATTTTAATCTTTGTTGGAATTTACCTTGTTTACGAAAATTTTTCTTCCTTACCTGACGTTGGAATTTGCCAACCACTAGTCACAATGAAGCGAATGTTTGCAAGTATTAACTCAATCAAAGGATGTAATAAAAAAAAAAACGTTTCATTGAATGACACTATATTCATTAGCAATTGCCAAATTATGCTGTTATGAGTATTATCAAGAAACAAAAGTTGACTGATATTTATGTTTCATTTTATTCTAGTATATGGGAGTATCGAGTTGAATCTCACTAATTATTTTTTTTTGTCAGAGTTAAACTAGTCGAAATCAAAACTCGTTATTTTTAGTACACTGAATGAGTCCTATTGAAATAAATTCTAATTTTTCATTTAACTCATTAAATATATATAATACACATTTAATCTGAATTCCTGCAGCAGCATCGTTATTGGTTTATTGGATATGACGCATCTCTTTTATAACATAAATCTGTAATAAAAAATGAATTTACCATTAGATTTCAGGAACTATTACATCACCGTCAATTTATGCTACTAAATAAGTTCTACAAGATTTTTGTTCTTTAATAAATATCAAAAAAAAACACATAACATATTTATAATCATGTCTACTGAAATCAATATAAATATTACATAATAAGAATTCAAGTAACTCTTAATATAATTTCTTTGCAATTTATGACATACATCATAAAGTTGAATGATACTTTACCATTATTTGTTTCTTTTTTTGTATTCAAGTAATGATATCCTTTGCACTATATTAAGACCATTAAGTTTTTTTTTGAGTATCATTTTTTAGTATTAGTTATAAATGTATTTTCTATGTAAAATATTAATTAAAATAAAAATTAGAAATATGATTTTTATGAATTAGATATCAAATTAATATTTAATTAATAAATAATTTGAATTATAATGTTTTTCAGAAAGGAAATATACTTTTATATACAAAATCACGAACAAGAAATAATATTTACTAATATATACACCATTCTCAAATGACGCATTTAAATATATGTAATTTGTTTTTCTTATTTATATATATATATATATTGTTAATTTTTATTTTTTATTTCAATAAATATACAAGCGTATTAATAAAACAAAAAAAAAACAGAGCAACAAATGCTCATTACCGGTCAATAGACGTTTTACAAGTTACTTTAAATATGTCACAGATGATTTTTTTTCTTTTTTTTCTCAATACGCTTTGCATCTCAATAAAAAAAAGAAAATAACAGATACAGATAAAGATAAATGAATAATAAATGTATGTGCATGAATATTTAAACTAGACTATAATATCGTACCTGTCGTTATCTTACACTCTTTCTGACAAATAGAAAAATAGATACATTCACCGTCGTTTAAGTAAAAATGAATTAGTAAGAGAGAGTGATAAAAGAAACAAAAAAAACAAACAAACAGAAATAAACATTCATACACAAACTTATATATCTTATCTGAAGTTAAGAGGCTCAAATAACGTACAACAGTAAAATTAAAAATATATGTTTTCTTTTTTTTTGAAGAATATTTTCTTGTTTACAAAAACAACAATGATAAAAAATAAAAATAAACAATTCTAGATTGTACAACGACAAACTAAATAATTTATAAAAACAAAAAGAAATGTTTTCAATAACTACGATATCTAAAGTAAAAAAAAACTTTTATATACATTTATATATGAATGTATGCGGCCAATTTTTTTCTTTCTCATTTACATTAAATTACATTGCACAACACGATCATAAAATATCTCATTAGAAATTTACTCTGTTTAAATATTGATCGTGAGGAAGAGACAGACAGACAGAGAGAGAGAGAGAGAAAAAAAAAGTACAGCTAATCTACTCAAATAAATGTACAAAAGTTTAATACTTAGATTTTCGATTTCCAATAACACCTGTTGATATTGGATATAATGATTGATCTTCATAGAAAGGAGTAAATTGATCAATATTCATTGGTGTTGGTGTTGGTGGAGACATAGAAAAAGGTGATGAAGTTCTGAATTGTTGTTGATAGATATGAGGTGGTACACGACGATGATTTGGAACTTTACGTATTGATTGTGGATTTGCCGAAGTTTTTTGTAAGGCTAATGCTTTATATAAACGATTGAGTTTATAATAATCTATAAAAAAAATAAAATAAGAGATAAAATTTTGTTTTTTTTTTTAAATTAATCTATAACTTACATGGATAACTTTCAACATAACCACAATAACCACTATCCGATGATTCATTAGATGTAGTACTATGTTCTGAATGTGGTGTATCCGAACGTTCTGGTTGACTATGATTTTCTTCATTAAATAAATTTTCATCAATATTAATACTATTTTCTAATGGATGTGATTGTAATGGAACATTAATTGGAGTTGTTGATGACATTTGAAATATTGGTGCTTGTGGTGATAAAGCTCTTGGTGGTGTAAATAATGGACCATTATTATACATAGATGGTTGTGTTACTAAATATGGTGGTGATGACGTACGTTGTGGTGTTGAAGCACCGGAATTATTAATTGAATCACATGGTGAAGAATTTGTTGGTGATGTTCGTAATGTATTAACCATAGGTATACGACTTTGAGATAATAATGTATCAAGATCATAATGAAAAAGTTCATTTTCATCTTTATCAAATCGAGCAACAATTAATTGTTGATTATCTTTTGGACATACATGATTTCCCAATCTAAATTAAAATATTAAAATAAATTAAATTTTTTAAAAAGTACAAAATACTATGGACTCAATTCTAAGAAGGTTATTTTTGTGTTTTTTCTTATTTGTTATTATGAAATAACAAAATAAACAAAACAACTCATATTTTCTTTTGTTCTTTCATCATCATTATGACATCAAATGACATCATTGCTCGTGATTACATTACGCACTAACATTCTACGCATTTTTTTCTTAGGTAAAGAAGAAAAAGAAAGGAAGAACGAATTTTGTACTAAAACATTATAATAAGTCTAGTCATGATGACGATGCATACCTTATAGAAACTTCATAGGGATCAATCCATAATGTTAATTCATGTCGAATACCAAGTAATTTTGGTGTAAAACCTAATTTATGACATATTTCAGCAACAATAATATCACAAAAATCATTTTCTTTATTAAATTCAAGTGAACGATAAGCTTGTCCTTTAATAGGCTTATCTAAAATATAAAAAATAAAAATTATCTCAATTTTATCATAAAATAAGAAAAGATGAAATTGAAATTTACCAGGATACCAATGTCCTTGATAACGTTCCAATAAAGTTTTTTCAAGTTGTGTATGAAATTGTTCAATAGCTTCTTGTTTTATTAAACCATATCGTTGAACATACGAACATAATAGATCAAGTGCAACATTAATTTCTTTTTTCATGATAATAAATATTTTTTTTATGAGAATATTTTGCAAATTGCAATATCTAGTTACTAAATAAGAATGAATATATTTCGTGCTCTTTTATATAGTCGGTAAATGACGTGTATTGCAATCTAGTCTTTTCTTTTTTAGATAAATAGAACAGCAAAGAAAGAAAGAAAAAAAAAAGAGAGACAGGGAACGGGGGGAGGGGGAAAACGTCATCAGTCTGATGCATGTTTTGAAAGGAAAAGACGAAGTACAAAACTATATAAACGTAATAAACTACGTAATAATCAATTTATGATTGTAATGACGACGAGTAGATTATCGTTTGTTAGAGAAAAGAGAAAAATATAGAAGGAAGGAACAGAAAAAAAAACAAGAGAAAATGTTTTTTTGTCGTCATAGGAAAAATCCTATGGAAATTGTTTTAGAGATTGTTTGAGTTGAAAAACAATAATGACGTGTTACGATGACAACTTCTGACTCATTGAGAAACAAACCATAACATATCGAAATAAAAAAAAAAAAAGAAGAGACTTGCATCATGACTTCTCAATATTTGAGTTACTATATATTTATTCATTTGTCATATATAAAATTGTTTTACTCCTTGTAACTATATAAAAAAAAAAAAGGTGTGTTTTTTTAATTTATTTTTCTACATATATCACATGAATACCTTGAGACTCAATATTACATATTTTATTAACACATGTTCTAGGTTATACACTTATTAAATATATTTTTTAATATACTTCAAAAACAAAAAAAAACAGATTTACTGAAAACCTGTTTTGCTTTTCTTTTTCATATTTAATATAATTTTTCTTTTTATAAATATATAAAAGAAAAACAAATCAAATAGTTTGAATTAGTTCCAGCTGTGACTTTAGAAGAAGAAAAAAAAAACATAAAGTACCTACCTACGCATATTCTTGTTTCTTCTCGAATATGCTATAACGCCTACGATTGAGTAAAAAGAAAAAACAAAAAAGTACAACGATGCAATTACAATAATATGCTCGATCAACATAGACAAAAAGAAAATAAAATGACGCGCTGAATTCGTTATTCAGCATACCTATGGTATTCTGATAAATATCAATTGAATAAATGAAAGAATAAAATGACATATTTTTTTGAAAATACAAAAAAAAAAAATTTATGTTGTGTAATCTAAATGCATCATAAAATTTTGTTTCTAATAAAATAAAAATGATTTGATAAGCTTTTATTTTCGTCAATCATATAATCAATGGATTTTACTAACGATTGATAATCATAACTTTTATTTTATTATTTTTTTTTTTTTTGGATGTAGAATTTTAACTGTTGAAAATATTAATGCATGAAAAAATTCATAACTAAAATTTATTTGAATATTTAATAATGAGTAATCATAGGAAATAGAAACTTTTGATATATATTATACGATGAATTTACAAGAATCTATTTCATTGAAGAATTGTTTGAAGCATGAGAATTGATATGATAGTTGTTGTTATCATTATTTCATCTTTAGAATATTAAATGAAATCAGAAAGACTTTTATATTATTTTAAAAGATTTCAAGATCTTGTCTCTCAATATTAACAGAAGATATAATAATACTTCTCGAATGCAATTGAAGTTTATTTAAATTATAATGAACTTTCCGAAAATCTGAGACCTCTAAAAAAGAATATTCGATAATCATTAAAATCGAACGAGAATATCTGAAGAGATTTCTTGTTTTTCAAAATTAATTTAAAATAAAAATACTAAATATTCATTATAATTTATGACGAGCTTGAAACATATAATATTTATATAAATTCATGATTATTTTGCATCGTTTTAAATTTCTATGAAAATATTAGAAATTTTTTGCATGCAAAAAATACAAGAACAAAAAAAAAAAAAAAAAAAGAAACGGAACTATTTCAATGGGTGACAGATGCCAATGACAACAGAATAATAAATCATATGACCGACTATATCTATAAAGTACTTTGAAGTACATATGTCATCCGACAGTGCCTACACATTTTTTTATGATAAGAATGAAAAGAAAAGCATCCCATCAAAAAAAAACATCGTCCTATTTTATCTCAGTACATGGGATACTTCATAACAAAAATATATCCCACCAGATGACAGTGGAATGTTCCATTCAATGTGAAACATTGCTTTGAAGACTTAATATTATTTCTGATACTTCATTTATTGATTTTTTTTAAATAGAAATGAGTAGCTTTAATTATTTAACTTTTTAATTTTAAGTTAACGATTTTCAAAATTTAATTATCATGATGAAGTATATAATGAAATTAAATTTGACTGCACAAAAAAATCTCAAGATCTATTCGATATCAGATTACCTTTTTTTTTTTACCAAATATAGTACTTCTGACATTAATCATTAATGAAAAGGCTACGTTCATATAACATACTAGCAAAAGACATACACACATAACAAGAGAAATAAAGCATACTTAATCAATAAAAAGAAGGAAAAAAAAAGAATAAAACAAGAAACAAAAACTTTTCTCTTTTTTTTTTTTTTTTTTTAATAACAAGACATCACGTTGACGAAAGGTTTGTAGTTGAGAGAGGTTGTTGTACATTTGTAGGCAAAGAAGTTGGTTGTTGAACTAATGATGATGTATTGGATGATAAAGAATTCATTAATACCGGTTGACTAGATGGTTGTAAAGGAATTGAAGTAGTTGTTGATGAATTATTTGGCTCATTTGAAGAAGATAAACCGATAAATGTCGGAATATATTGAGCATAAATTTCACTGGGTACATGTTGACGAAGAAATGCATTTTCATGTTCAGCACTATTTATTCTTTCATTAAGTATTCGAATTTGTTGTCGTAATTCAGTTACTTCATCACGAACAGCTGATAGTAAATGCATTTTAACAAGATCCTTAAAAAGAAAATATATATAGATAGATAGATCATTAATTTATTTTTTAAAATTAAACATTGATTTCTGAATAATATTATTAGTTTAGATAAAATTAAATTCTTCATAAGGTTAGAAAAAATTTTCTTCGAGTATATAAAAAAAACGGCTCATTATGTTACTTATAATTAAATTTACGTAATATATAACTAATTTATATTAAATTGAATTTAAGAGAGAAAATATTTACTTACCATAGCAGCCGAAATCTTATTATCGATATCAGTTGTACTAAAATTAAAAATAAAATCAATATCTATATCATATTAAATAACAATAATAATAATCGAAATAAGTAAGTTGATAGCATAACTAGTTTTATAGGCTAATTGTTTTTTTGTATATTGAGCACCATTATTAGTTCTGTATTTTTTTTGTTTTTTTTTTCAAAAATATATTAAATACCTAAGCTGTCTTCTTAAACTAAGACAAGCTCGCCTTCTAATAAACTAAAGCTTAAAAATTAAGGATAGAATTGAAAAATATTTACTAAAGAACAAAAACAAAAAAAAAACAACACTTGTTTTTTTTTGTTGTTGCTTACTTATTTTGTTTTGTTGGTGTTGTTAATTCTTTAAGAATTTCATTAGCTATTTCCGTATTTTGATTATTTTCATTATTTAATAAACCCATTGCAGCTGCTGCTGTAACAGCTGCTGTTTGTGCTGTTTGAGTTAAATTTAATGGTGAACCACTTGTTGTATATGTCCATATATCACCTAATGATGTTGTTGTTGATGGATTTGTTACATTTATATTTATAGGTGATATAAGTGATGGTGGAACTGTATCAGATGTTGTTAATAATGGTGATGATGAAATTAAATCTGTAATTTGTGTTGATTTTGATAAATCATTATTAATACCATTAACTACTGTTGTAACTAAAGGTTTTGGTTTTGTTGTTGATGATTGTTGATTTAAATTTTTTGTTGTATCATATTTTGGTGATGTAAATAAAGGTGGTTGATGTGATAATTGTATATCATTTGTATTAATTGAAATCATATGTGAAATTGGAAAAGTTTGAGATGCTTGATTTTGTGGAAGAATTGTTGGTAATGATGGTACTGGATGATAAGATGGTATAGTTGCATAGGGTGATGTTGTTGATGATGCTTGTGGAACAAATGGTGTATGAGAAGGATGAGCTGCATATAGAAATGGTGCTGCTGCAGCAGCAGCCGCTGCTAATTGAGCATTTTGTAAATGATCAGTTGTTGCATTTGGAAAGTTAATAGAAGACATCACTGTATTTTCACCATTAATATCCGAAACTAAAAATATTGAAATATAGATTGATGTTTTTCGCTTAAAGAAAAACAAAGAAATTTTTGAATTTACCTGTATCTGGAAGTCGAATAGGATCATTGATATTTGTTGTAGGTGGTAATGAAGATGTTGTTGGTTGTGGTGGTCCTAATGTTGGAGGTGGTAAAAAAGGATTTGAAGCAGCTAATGCAGCAGCAGCCCATGAAGTTGCATATGGTGAATAAGGTGTTGGATAAAATGGATAATAACCAAATTGAGGATGATTTGGTAAAAGATAAGGTTGATTAGGTAATGGTCCAGGTGGATATGCATGAAGAAGTCCAGCTGTAGGTGGAACATTGGCTGTTGGTACTAGAGTCGGTGCATTTTTAAGTGCCATTTGTTGTTGTTGTTGAAATGCAGTTGCAGCAGCAGCAGCAGCTGACTTGAAAAAAAAACACAAATTTACAAAAGATTTTGAATAATGATTTAGTAACTAAAAACAAATATTTCGAGATCTTTCAAATAGTTATTAAATGATGAATTATAAGTTTCAAATATGACAACAAGAAATCCCTTTAGATTGTGATTTTCAAATATATTGCCAAAACCATTTTTAGACATATTCAGATAATGGAACATATTTAATTCTCTATTAATCAATAATCCTTTGTATTTTGTGATAATGAGGTTTAGATAAAATAATATTACCATGAAAACTTTCACATAGAAATGTTGGTATATATTTGTTGTATGAATTAGGATAAATGTATTTTCTACAGAAAAAGTTATTATTTTCTCAACAATTCGATAAGCAATTCAGTATTCGCTTTTTGATTTATGTAGTCGATGACTAACACTTTCTTGGGTCAACTCTCTTGAATAATATTCCATTTGATATGATTTATAGGATAATTTCCTTAGAACTATAACTTTTTTGTTTCTTGTAGTCTCCGTTTTGATCACAGCAACTTCTCTTTCGTATAGTTTTTGCATATCTCTACTCGTGACCGAAAGATTTCGCTTGTTGTTTATTTAAAAAAAAGAAAAAAAAAACTACAACATAGATTCTTACAGCAGCTGTTGCAGCAAGTGCAGCAGATGAAACTACATTTGAATCTCCAGTAATAACTGTTGGTACAGTAGATGATATATTAGGTATTGTTGCTGTTGGTAGATTTGCAAATGTTGAATTATTAGAAATATTAATCGATTCATTTTCAATTGTATTTATTGGTAGAATTATTGAATTTGAAATATTTTCCGGTGGTTCATAATCATTAACTTTCCATCGACCACGTCCAAAATTTCTATCAACACGAATCATTTGAAAACGTGATGGACCTCCTGATTCATCAGGTATTGTTGATATTTGTGGAATAACATCGTCATGGTTATTAGGAGTATTTATTGGTAATTTATCAAGATTAATTACTTGAAATTTTCCAATTAATTGTTCATTTGTTGGACCATTTGTTGTTGATGATCCATTCATGTTTTTTCTTTTTCTTGTGTTTATGCAATCGAAAAATTACAAGATCTAATTAATAATTTTAACATTCTATTTTATTTTTCTACAAATATATATATATATATATATTATTAACTAATATTCATTTAAATTAAAAAAAAAAAAAAAGAAAAATAATAATGAAATTCTTTTATTATAAAAATCACTCTATGAGTAAAATGTTACTAAATTGTGTAGCAAATATTTGCTTGACTTTATCTAAATGTAAAAAATTTCTTATTGTTGTTATGAATAATGAAAATATTTTTACCGCTAATTTCTTTTAGATTTGCATTTTTTTGATTAACTACTATTAATAATTCACGCATATCGGATCGTTTAGATATTATCCATGGATCATTTTCACGTTTAACCATTATTTCACCAGATGGATGAAACCTAAATATAATTTATGTTCGAAAGAAACAATCTAATAAAATAGATATAAATGCTTCAATGTAATAGAGTATTCGAGAATCTTATATTATATTCCAGCGTAATTTTTGAGAGTTTTAAAATGTTAATTTGTGTTTTGTACGATTTTTAAGTTGAAAACTAGATATATTTAAATACTAAATAAAGTTTCACTATTGAGAAAGTTTTTCTCGAGAAATTCTTATCCTGCACATTAAAAAAAAAGAAGATCTATTTTTATTTTACCATTGCATATCTTCAGCAAGTGTATTCATAACACCAGCCATAGAATTATTTGGTTCACGTGTCCAATCAATAGTTGATGAATGTGCCATATTAATTTTATTATAATAAATTGTTCGTACAGTAATATCTGTTCTAGAAATAAATATAATTTAATATATACAGTACTCGTCAAAAGTCCACGGACATGTCAAAATCCAGGTAAAGCTGAACGAAATTTTTATCAGAGATAGAACTCGAAAAACTGTGTTCGCAAGCACCAATCCGAGCTCGATCGACTGAGATAGGATGGAGTTCGGTTTGAAACATTGCTTTCAACTTTCAAAGAATTTTATCAATTTAAATCAGATTGTTTCGCGATAAGTTTTGATTTAATTTTATGAAAATTGCGAAAAACAATCCAGCTTGAATTGATAAAATTCTTTGAAAGTTGAAAGCAATGTTTCAAACCGAACTTCATCCAATCTCAGTCAATCGAGCTCGGGTTAGTGCTTGCAAACACAGTTTTTCGAGCTCTATCTCTAGTAAAAATTTCATTGAAAATGGTTCAGCTTTACCTGGATTTTGACATGTCCAGGGACTTCTAACAGACACTGTATATATTTAAAATTAGTTGAGTACATCAACAAAAAAAAAAATTAAATCATACTAACGATGGATATTTTTTTCGTAAATGTTCTTCAAAACTAGGTAACATTGTATCTAAATCTTTTTTTAATGTATCAACTATTTGACTATCTACATCTTCATTATTTATAATATCATCATCTATTTAATTAATAGAAAAATTTAAAAAAATGAATAATAAAAATATTTTTTTTTTTACCATCATGAAAAAAACAAAATATTGTTATTAAATTAATGTTTATAACTAATACTCGATAGGGTGTTAATGGATTGCCTAAAAAAAATGCTTGATAAATTTCACTTGTTGAATTTGATGAAATAATTAATTCATCAGCTAGATTAGCAGTTGTATCAATTGTTAAATATCTTTAAAAAAAAAATTTCAAAATCTAAATTTATTTAATAAATAATGAAAACAGAAAAACTGTTTTTTTTACTGTGCAATCGATGAATTTAATAATGTTTTAATATGTGGCCAATAATAGAGACGAAAAAATGAATAAACTAGACTAGTATCATCTTGAGAAAGACCACTCCTGAATAATATCAAAAATTATTATTAAAAATAAAAAAATCAAAAAAAAAATAAGTACCATATAAGTTGATCTTTATAGAGAAAAAGTGTTTCTTTAAGTGATGAAAAACGTAATTCAAGTCGTCGTAAAATTGATTGAAGTTTTAAATAAAGTTTTTTTTCAACAGGTAAAAATTGTATACCAAAAAAAGATGTATCTAATGTTGCATCTCGTATTATTGTATGTAAATGATGTTGAATAAACTAAATAAATAGTAAACTTTCATATCAAAAAATTATTAATGCAAACTTTGCAAAATTAAAATACATTTTAGATACTATTGCTAATTACAGAAAGATTGGTTCATATATATATATATATCAGCAATCTCTATCACGATCTATAATCAATCTGATGAACTTTATTAAGAGATTCTTACTCAAAATTTTTATAACAAAGAACAAATCTTTTCATGCTGATTGCAAATATGTCTTTATCTTTACTCTTAAAATAAAACAATGTAGGAAAAATTTTATCTAGATCCAGATGTATTTATGTATCGTTATTTTAACTAAGTAGACGTATGACACAGAAAAAAAATATTTATTGAAAGTTGTATCGAGTTCGGAATTGTGCAGGTCATTTTTAAGAAATCCTGAGTTGAAAAATATGCATACTTAATTATTAGAACAAAATTTTTCATATAGAACGATAACACAAGAGCTCTACAAAATGAAAGAAATTGGACCATTTTTTTTTTGGTTCAGAATTTGCCCAAACTCTTTAAGAGTTAGAATATAAAATGAAAAAGACTTCTAGAGAAAATCACTCTTTTGTTAAATTACTATATGATTATGTTGTGATCAACACCTTCGGAAAAACAAATTAGTTGTAATCGATATTTTGTTGTAGAATTGCTCAAACTTATTTCAACTATATGAAGAAGTTCTCATTTTCAGATATTGACGAACTTTTTTTTTAAAGTAATTATAAATTCTAATAGAGTATGAAACTCTCTCCAACATACACTTTTCATTTCACTTTTATTCATAAATTCATTACTATGGAATGTGAATTTGTATAACCATGATACTAAAAATAATACAATTCGTAGGAATATAAGAGCGTGGGTACAAGAAAGAAAATAATAACAAATAGATATTAGAGAGTTTCGCGCATGGTTAGAATTGATAATTACTTTTTAAGAAAAAATATATTATTGGGTGGTTCCATGGGAAATCAACCACAAAAAACACAAAGTATTTAAAAAATTTTCTTTTCTATCAGGTTTTGTAGAGCTTTTTTCACTGATCATTTTGGTAAAAGAACTTTTTGAAATTTATTGAGAAATGACAATGTTATAGTCAAAATACTAAACACTGTAAAATAGCATAAAAAGCGAGTTTTTCTGATAAATAAGCATAAAAAGTCGATTCACATATCTCAAAATGGCTATATTCTAGAGAAATGTGATATAGTAGGTTTTGTAGAGGAAAGTTTGCTCTACAAGATCCTATAGTCGGTTTCTCATTTAAAATCGAATAGTATGAATAAATCTCGATAGAACATTACATACAATATTTATCGTAAAAATAGAAGACATCATGTTTTTTCATACGAATATCATATGCAATATTCTATCGAGATTTATTCATACTATTCGGTTTTAAATAAGAAACCGACTATAGAGTCTTGTAGAGCAAACTTTCCTCTACAAAACCTACTATATCACATTTCTCTAGAATATAGCCATTTTGAGATATGTGAATCGACTTTTTATGCTTATTTATCAGAAAAAATCGCTTTTTATGCTATTTTACAGTGTTTAGTATTTTGACTATAACGTTGTCATTTCTCAATAAATTTCAAAAAGTTCTTTTACCAAAATGATCAGTGAAAAAAGCTCTACAAAACCTGATAGAAAAGAAAATTTTTTAAATACTTTGTGTTTTTTGTGGTTGACTTCCCATGGAATTAGCCTATTATATTCGTAAGATTTTAAAGCATTTCATAAAAAATTGACAACGAAGAATTTTTCATTGTAATCACAACATATTTTTCTTTTTAAGCAATTCAATGCAAATATAGAATTAAATATATAGACTTGTAGAAAATTCTGAATACTATTAAAATATCAATTAGAAACATTGTTTTTCAGAGTATATAATCTTCTCATTAAAAAACGATTGAGAATAAAACATAATAAATCAACAATATAGAAATATAACTTTTACTATAGGTCTTAACGAGACTTTAATTTATTTCCTTTATCTAGTATCGATCATAGTCTATCAAACATATTCGTATTTTGATTTCTATTGAATTCTGTTCTGATTGATGGTTTTTATAAGATACTTTGCTTAAAACTATAAATCATAGTTATGGTTAAGATATAACCTTTTTTTTTTGTTTTCATATTTCCTGTAAGTCTTGAAATTCCGGTCATGGTGACCGGAAACTACAGTTAATTTCACACATCTCTAATTCTATTTGTATAAATAGCTTTTTCGCAGTTATCTTCTAAAAGATAGATCCTAATCTTAATGTCATCATAAATTTGTGATTTTCTTTCGACAAATATAATCTATTACCTTATCAAAATATTGTTTAAGTACATTTCTTAATTCTTCAATACCACCATGTTGAATAATTGTTGACATTGTACCATGTTGTAACTGGAAAAAAAAAACATTCATCGAAAATCTTTAAATTAATTTCTTCGAAATAAAATTTACAATAAAATATCGATATGACATTTTTAATATTGGTAACATAATACGATCATTTATATTTTCATCAAGATAATCAGTAATAAATTTATCATCTTTTTTTCGTTCAATAACAGGAATATGAAGTGTCTTAAATAAATTTTTTCTTTAAAAAAAAAAAACAAGAATAATTTATACCATAGCTATACAAATATCATTTTCAATTTTATGAAATAAAAGACGAGTTTTTTGAAAATGTACAGTTTCACATGGATCATCAAAACCAAATGTTCTTAAAAAAGTAAATAAATAAATAAATAATTTTAAATTTTTGTTTTGATTTTATACTCAGTAAATTGAACTAAACCTTCACAATAACCAATTGTACGTATTTGACGATCAAGATTAATATCAGATGGATAATAATAAAGAATTTTTCGTTCTTCCTATATTTAATATTTATTTATATAATTAAGAAAAATAAAATAGTTTATTTATTAAAAACCTGTCCTTCTTTTTCACATAATAATGGACAATAAATAAAAAAATCAATTAGATAAATACTTGATGGAATACGTTCATTAGTTGATGCCATCTTAAAATAGTTAATGATTTTATAATTTCTTATTTCTATAGACAACGTGCTTCAGCTTTTTTTTTTCTTTCTATATTAAAACAATAATTTTTGGATTGGACTTTATGTACTATTTTTTTGTGATTGGTTACTAACAGCAATAAATAAAAATATGCTAGATGCATCTACCAATATTTTCAAGTCAATGGCGTTAACCACATCTATCGGAAAATAAATATATATATATATATTCTATTGTGATAGAAGAATACTAAGTTTATTAATCTTTTCATTTTTTTTTGATTCATAATCAACATATCTGTTAAATTTCATCCTAAGAATTATAGATAAAATGAGATAGTATTGACGTTAATATAAAATTGTATAGACTTGTCTTCAAATATGAAGATAAACGAGTTTAAGTTAACTGTTATTATCTTTCTATTTGATGTTTGTTTATAGAAATTCGAGTACAACAAGTTATGTTCTATAGCAAAATTAAATATTTGTATAAATTTAACATACAATGAATATCATTCGTAGTTCTAGATGCTTGGATTTGATCTTTTTTTCTTTTGCAAAAGATAGCCTAGAAAACTATATCTGATCGAAAGTATTAAACTTTAAAACAAAAAAGGCTTACCTTCAAGTATATATATTTTCTTGTCTTGATGTTTAATTACATAGAGATACATTTGAATACATCTTTTTTGTAGCATAAAACAAATGCTTAGAGAGATTCAGATTTATTACCAACGTAGACAAACATAATTTTCTAAAATTTAGATCTAAGCAAACTGCTACAAACATTTTTTTTTCGACAATAAATCATACGATTATAACGAGAGTAATCAACGAATGTAACTTGCTTTTTAACAATATTTGCCACAAAACTTATCTGAAGATTGCCTTTTTGGATTCTATTTAGAAATAAAAGTACATGTCGAAACATATGAAACTTGCTTTCATGTTTTCTAAAATCTTTTTAGAAAGAAGAATATAAAAAAAACCTATTGCTTAGAGATTGAACGTTTTAAAATATGTAGTACTAATGACTAAGTATAGATTTTCAACTGTTCTATCGAAAAATATTTCAAGTTAAAGTATCAACAATGCAAAGAAATGCTATTCACAAAATCTTTAGAAGGCCATTGTTTATGTGTCATTCGTCAGATACCATTGACAGCAAAAGAAAACAATAGAATTTATGATGCTAAAATAAAAGGTAATCTGTCTTAAAGTTTATTCATTCCTTATCATACTTTAGACAGAAGTGGGTGTTGATATCATGTGTATTTTTATCAGTATAATAAATATTCTATATGCATAGAGCTTATACTTCAATTCAAATAGATTAAATTTTTTTTTTAAAAAAAAAATGTTAACAATAAAACAACGATATAGTAGTTTACGACAATTTAGTTTTGAGCGTGAATTTCCATTAACAGAAGAACTTGAATCACCGTCACATATATTACCTTTAGAACCAAAACCATTAACTAAACCTGAGAAAATTGATGAATTAGATGATAAAGAATTACTAGAAAGAATCAATAAACTTAAGTAAGTAAAATATATTATACTTAGGACATAATAATAGTTAGTGACGAAGATATTTTAATTCTTTAAAGAAACTTTTTCTCTATATAATATAATAATTAAGACAAAATTTCTACATTTCTCTGATATTTGATTCTTGCTTCAAATAATATCATAAGAATAAAAAATTTCGATAAGAACTATTTGTTATGATATCTGACAGTTATATTAGATTACATCTTGTCTTCAATGCATATATATTCTTTGTTCTTCTTCTCTAATATTTAATTATCTATACATATTACGGTATAGAAAAAATAGTAGTGATACAACAAAAATAAAATACAGAAGAGTCGAAAAAATAAAAAAATAACATCGTGCCAAATCTAAGAACATTTTCCTATAATCTAGTATGCATAGACGAGTAGGCCATTAGAGAAGAAGAAGAATAAAGAGAATATTATAAGAAATAGTTTTCATGGAAATTTTATTGGTTAAATATATCAGAAAAATGAAGAAGTTTATCTTTACTATCATAATATATAATAAGAAAATGTTCTTTAAAATATCTTCATCAATAATAACTTTGTTATGATTTATAAATAAAATAAAATTTTTGTTTTTTTTGATTAATTCAAGAGATGAAAATGAGACTATGCGTCTTGAAAATTTACTTTTTTCACGTTATTTATTACGTGTAACAAAACCAAAAATTATTGAAACATTTAATGATTATGAAGATAAAACTGATATAATTGTTGGAACATTTGATCAAACAAAAGTAATTGATACTGGTCGAGAAATTTCATGTAAATATATTCATTAAATTTAATTAATTTTAATTAATTTTAATTTTTAGACAAAATAAGCACTACTCATACTAGAGATGGTAAACCATTATGGATTAAACGATCAGTAAGTTCACGTACACCTACTGATATACGATATATTCCACCTATCGAACAAAAACGTTTCTTTATTGCTTCTTATGAAGTTGAACAAACACATTTAGATTGGCAACGAATGAAAGCAAATGCACTAGCAGCAATTGATAATTTAAAGGTTAGTTTTGAAATTCAAAATAAAGATAAATAAACTAATACTATATTCTATACTTGATTTATTTTTCTATCATAATGATAAAGTTTAGTTTTTAAAGATTAGTAAAACTGTCGATAAATGAATAAGAAAATGTTAGATATAATCGATTGAGTAATATTGAAGATGCTAAAATGATTAACTTATCTCTCTGTTTATTGATACTATACCAAGACTCAACAAAAAAAAAAGACAAAATTTCTTTAATTATGAATAAAACATTGAAAGTTCGCTGTTGAGAAAAGATATGTTCTGAAAATTCAGAAAGAGGATGATCCTCCACTTAAGATACTTCTGTACTTGTCTACAATATTGGATATTCTATATTAAATGGGATCCGGACAGTTGCGCGCGGGACAGTTGCTCGCTAGGACAGTTGCTCGCTATAGGACCCTATGTAACTGTTATAGCGAGCAAGTGTCCGCGCGCAACTGTCCTAAACCCATATAAAATGTACTAAATAATTAATGGTTAAAACTGAATTTTAATTATCATTGTATAATAAAATCTCTCTATGCGCAAATCTCCTGATTTTAAGTAATGAGCGCTCAGATGTACTCACATGAGTAATAATAATCTTTGTTGTGTGAACAACAACTGTTTTCTCATTAACATGCAGAACGAGAAAACATGAGACACCTATAATAATAAACAAAAGTCTCAATTTCCAGCTGGTATCAACTACTGTATGTATTAGAGGTCTAGAAATTTGTTTTCATGCACTTTACCGAGAATGTGGATCGTTAGCATTACGGCGCTGTTATTGTTAAATTAATTTAACGTTGTTTCTTACTAAAAGTATGACTAATTCTACATATTCTTACATGCAGCTAAAGTCTCATACTTGATCTTTAGTCATTTCAAAAAAATTCATTTGTTCGAATATTCATATTTCTGTATTCTTAAAACTAACCAGATTGTTATCTATGCAGGTTTACTTCTGAAACTTGTAACTGTAGAAGAAGTTTGAACTATGATGCATTGAATCATCACGGGGTTATTGACCTTTCACAAGCAGTAGATGGCTTCTCTTTCCGACAATGAGCATAATCTTTGAAAAGATTCATGAACTTCAGTGAAATTAGTAATATAGATAGCTAAAACATTGTGTCATCTATTGAGCAGGAATCGATGGACATAGAATTCTCTTTCTTTCCGGAATAATGAAGTTGACAACAGAAATCTATGTTAATGTCAACCATCATAATTTGTTTTTCTTATTAAGCAATAAGAGCGCTGCAATGTTAATAACCTAAATTCTTGATGAAGTGTCTTCACACAAATTTTTAGACTTCCAATAAACGAGTTTATCTTCTGATGGTAGTTGTACTAGATAAGTTTTATTATATTTCAAAATTTATCTATATATAAATTATCTTCAAATCTAATTGTTTTTTTTTTTTTAATATAGCTTTTATATCGAAATATTCAATCTGATTACAACTCTCAACAATTACTAAATCAACAACTAGAACGACAGATAGATAAATATCGTACTCTTATTGGTGAACAAGAATTTAATAGTCCATATTTATCAGTACCAGGTGAACTATTTGTTAGTCGTGTTCATAAACTTATCGATTCTCGTATAAGTTCAATTGGTGCTTTTCTTGTTAATACAGAACTTCTACATACACATATAGAACGTGTTGATGTAAGAATACGTCAATTAGATGATTTTATGACTGGAACAAATAAAGTTGAAATTGATTGGGAAATTAAAAAACAAAATGATTATAGTACAAAATTTAAAAATCTTGAAAATATCTATATAATAGAAAAATCATCTTATTATACAGTAGTACATCATTTAGAAGAAATAAAAAAAAATTTAAATGAACAAAAATTAAAAATTGAAGATCTAGAAAAACAATTTGAAATTTTACAAAATGATTTAGAACAAAAAATAATTGATATTAATCATATTAAACAAGAAAATAATAAAATTCTAAAAGAAAATAATATTTTAAAAGATCGTATTGATACAACATTAAAAGTACCAACAATTAATAATTATGCTTATATTACAGAAAAACGAAAACTTTTACAAAATGATATTAATATATGGACACAAAGAGTTAATATTGCTGAAGTAAGATTTTATTTACAACAGAATAAAAAACATAAATTTTATTCTTTTTGATAGACATTATTATCACAATTAAAACGACAAAATAAACCACCGAAAATTTTACCACCATTACAAACAACTATTTAATGAATAAAAAAAAATATTATGACACATACTTATTATAACTATTTGTTTGATTATTATTTTATATTGAATAAATTCAAATTTCAGATATTCTCTTTTTTTTGATTTATAAGTTAACGTTTAATCATTAATCTTACTTCGATATAGATCAATGATAGATGGAAAAATGAATATGATCAATATTCGGATCGACTAACATATTACGTTAATTCTTCATTGTTGTTCGAGATTTGTTTGAACTCATTCATAGAAAATTACAAAAAACTCGTCTTCTTTTTGTTTTATTTAAGCTATGCATTCTAAGAAAAGTAATCTTATGAGGTTTTGATTAAAAACTAATCACAAATTTTATACTTTGTAAAAGAAATGTGAATCATCACTATTGATGATGAACGTACAAACGAATTTATTTGAAAAAAAGCAATTGTAAGATAATAGATTACAGCTTTAACAAGACAAAAAGTTATATCGATAATTTCGTTGATGATGCACTTACTAAGGATTAGAGATTAAAGAATTAAAGAAAAGGAATGATTCGAAAGAATTCTAGACGAAAAACTATGACATCGGTTCACTTGAGTCCTACACGAGCAGCGAAGAATTGAAACAAAAGTTAACCATACTATCCGAAATTTTAGTTTCATCAAAATACAATATCTAATCATAAGTAAAAAATGAATATCCGTCTAATGTCGAATCCTAGACTGAACAGTAACATATGAATGGCAACTTTTTTATAAATGTCTATATGGATATACTTTCGAATAAGTAATGACATTTCATGCCACATTTCGATTTAAATTAGTTTTTTGAAAAAATTTCGATGTGTGTCCGCGTAAACAAAATCAAATCAGTTACTATACATTAGCATAATCAAATTTTTGTAAGTATGAGTATAATGGATCATCGAAAATAATTTGATAAAATATTCATTCATTTTTCAGTCTTTTAATGGAGCCTCTTTATGTATACAAAATACATGTTTTTTTTTGGAAACTTCGTATCTTGAAGAGGTATACAGTCAAAAATGTCCTTCAAAAAAGCGTCCTCGATATTTCATCCTCAAGGATACTAGAGGTGTGGTTCGACAGCCACACTTATAGTAGAATAAAACCTTGTACAAAATGATCTAAGTCCAGCATTGTTGAACAGCGAATTAAACAATTATATGATTGATTTAATGATAACCAAATTATGGTGCAAGGATTATTACATAGACTTACTTTATTTTTTTTATTATGAATGAAAAAAATAAAGTACAGTTCGTTATAAGAAATTATATTTTATGATTAATATTATCATCAGCCGTTGGTCACATTTTACTAAAAGAACATTATAATCTGTAACTCTTACAGTGATCGTGTTCAAAACTTAAGAATTTTTATTATAGAGACTAGTCTAATCAAGTTTTATATATATATAAAGCTTTAGATCAAAAATCAATTATTACAACGAACCAAATACAATATTATTTATTTTCTTTAATAAGAAGATAAATCAAAATTTGAAATTTGCCTTTTTTTATTATCATACAATTGATTAATTATAATCTTCTAGTTCTTTTTTGTTTTTGCATTCTCTTTATATATAAAGAATTCGTTGAAATCATCAATTCGAAATTACATCAGCACGATTTTATTTAATTAAAATAAATCGTACGTTCAAATAACAAAAATTTTATATTAATGTCAATCGAACATCATGTTCATCTATTTCAGGAATTTTAACTGAAAATGAAAGAGTCTTAGTATTTGATTGTTGTTCTTTTTCTTGACTAGTATTATTAATAGAATTTTGTAATATTATATCTAAATGACGTTTTAATAATGATATTAATTGACCAGTTCGTTTTAAATGCATAGCTAATGCATGTCGTGCACTTCTATGAAACCAAATATGAACACCAATTAAACTATTCATATATTGATTATTAATATCAAAATCTAAAACTGATGTTAAACAATGTATTTGTGTAGAATTTTTTTTTTCTTTTTCATCATCAATTATTCGATGTGCTTGTCGTTGATCAGCTATTGATAATTGACTCCAATGTATATGAAGTACACAATTATGATTTAATATTTTTCTTTCAATTTTTTCCATATTCATTCGTATTTGTTCACGTATAACTTGTGCTTGTCTTGATGGACAATATGCACCCATTATACGCCATGGTAAACCAAGTAATGTTGGATCTAATATTGGATTAAATGCAATAGATATTGTTGCTAAATCAGCACACATACAAACCATACTACCACCAAGACTAGCACCAATTAAAATAACATGTTTATAAAGTGTTGAATAAATTTCTACTAAATTTCTATAATATGTTAAACCTTGCCATTGATAATTTGGATCTTGTAAATAAAAACATTGTGCTGGATCAGTTAAAAAAAGTACATCAAATTGATTATTTGTATGATCATGTAATTGACTTATTGAACTACGCCATTCTGTTGTTCGTACACCTCCAACAATCATAGCAGCACCAGCAAAACTCATATATAATATTGGTGAACGATGTATACATGATAGATTTGGTTCAATATGTGATGATGAATGTTTTGTATGACATTGACAATTTTTATTTGATGGACAATATGTTTGTCGTCGTTGTTCAAGGTGATTAAAACGTATACGTGTAAAAGCAGAAAATTTCGATAAAAAATATCCATGACCACGATGTCGTTTTATTAATATATATAATAAAATAAGAATTAATATGATCGAAACGGGTATTAAAATATATAACCACCATTGCCAACGATCCATGTCTTTTTTTATTTTTTTTTACAGAAGAAAGCTATCTCATATATAAAGAAAAACGTTATAAAATTCAAGGTAGTTTACATGCACTGATGCATATTCACATAGGTATACATATGAGTATGATATATACCTTTTTTCAATTACAATCCTTATAGAAAAAAATGTGCGACGATTGCACAAGATGGATACACACATTAATGATGCATTAAGATGAACTTTGACACTTGCCAATGATTGGTTATCTATTTTTTACTATATATAAATCAAGTTTGAAGGTTCGATGAGGACAAATAAAGGTACTTGTTATGATCTGTCATTGAGTAAAGATGAGAATATTTACACTACTCAATCGATTGTCCATAAGTAACTAGAGACTATCGTGAAAATATAATGATGTATTAGTTGATGGATGTTAGAATAATCAGAACTATCAATGTTTCGTTTTTCTAAAAATTAAACAAAACATATTTTAACTGACTAGACACATGATTAATCATGAACCTGTATATTTTTGTCGTATTTGGCGTTCGGCAAGGATGATCGTTCGAACTTTTTTTTTTTTTATATCGAATTAAGGAAGTCACTTAAAAACGTCATTAAATAATCGTTAACGATTTGTAATGAATCGTTTTTTGATAATGATTAAATGATATGATAGTACACCTTTAAAAAATCGTTCTATTATGTTACACAGACGATCACAATAAATAAGTTCGATTTATTCAATGTGAAAACGAGTACAACTTTACTGAAATATTGTTCCAAAATACAAAATACGTAGTATCTCATTAAAAAAAAACTCATATCTTATGTTTACCTAGAGTGTACGAATCGATTTTGAGTGTCATTAAAAACTGATTTTTAATAATTGATGATCTAAAAGTTTTTTTTAGACAAATTACTTGTTTACTATTAACCATTATTACTTTCGAACAAAACTTTCACATCTTTATTTCGAAAGAGTATCCATAAATATCCGATCATTTGTTAGTTTAAACACTTCTATTTAAAATATGATAATGACTTACAAATATTTTTATATAAAAGTTTTTTTTTTTTCAAGCAAAATAGGAATCCTTCGAAAATCGATCATGTCTTAAATATTTTATTAAAAGAAAAATAGAAGCCTCCAATCTATCACAGTAACAAGCATTTTAACGTGGAATTTTAAATTCAATAACATTCCATAAGATAATACATAAAAATTACACTTTAATTTTCAAATCTAAACTAAAACATAAAAACACATTTTTTTTTCAAAACTTTTATTATTAACCAAATCATTTACTATACAAATAGTTCAAATAATCTTCTGTACATTTTTCTTATGTAATTTTAATAAATATTATGTTGATTTTGAAGTCCTTTAATATCTAATTGTTCTCTATAAAAAAAAAAGAACTCATGGTGTTGTGCGCTTACACTTGAAATGCATTATTAACAAAGGTTGAACCAAAACACTTCGACTGTCTAATTTTTTTTTGTTGTTGTACATACAAGCAAATTTTTCAATATTATAACAAGTACAAAAACTTCTAATGAAAATTAAAGTACATTAAGCATTCATGCTTTAAAAAACAACACTGTTAGAGACTATTCAACAACTCGTGCAAATATACTCATGTTTCTTTTCTTTTTCGCTTTTTTTTTTTTTTCTTCTGCTAATCAATAGAAGCAGTCAAACACACAGGCATCATTTTATTAAACACTTTAAAAATTTCAAAATGTCTACTAGTTATAATACATAAAGGCGTTAATGTGGTTGATCAGTAACGAAAAACATATACACACGTAAACATTTTCATATGACTTTCATTTCATTTTTAGTTTAACCAGATGGATATTATTATGAAAATTTATATTAATCTTGAATGTATTCGTTTTTAACAGTTATAATAAAGTATTGAATCAATAAGTAAATGAATAAAAAATTTCATAGCAATTGATGAAAGTAATGTTATTTTAAAAATTTATTCCTATGCCAATATTTTCTTTTTTTTACAATGAATTTTAATGATAAATATAATTAAATTCTGACTAATTATGCTAATAGAAATTAAAATACAAATGCAATCGATAAAATCTTTTAAACAATAAATCTATGAATATATGAAAAGAAGACTATTCTAAATGATGATGAACGAATTATCATGATTAAAGTAAGATTTTTTAAAACACGATCTAAAACAAAATATTCAAAGTTAGAGATAAAAATTTTCAGCTACTTTCTATCCAATAGACCGTGACACAGACGTAACCATAGAAACCTAAAAGTTGTTGTTAATGTACGATCAAAGATCATATATAAATAATAACTCGTTATAATAAATGAACTGTTTCCTTGTTGTATGTTTAAAGGATTCAGTAGAAATATGTCCCAAAATGGAGAGAATGAAACGATCTTTCTGAGATTAGAAACTCTTTCGAATTGAAATCCAGCGTAAATTACCGCAACAGTTTTTTTAATATTAGTTTTAGTCTGTTTGAAGTCAATCGGAAGTTATGTGATCGTTTAGTATGTTCATAGTAGGTTTAGGATATTTTTGAAAAGTAAGAAGTCATTTAGTACATATTTTTGAAGCTTGGAAATCTTCTAAGATACATTAACATCTGCAACTGCTTGAAGATGGACTGGTGAAGTATAAGTTCTTCTTTTTTTTTGTAACTTCACTTTGGATATCTGACGAAACTTTGTCTGACTTCTTACTGATATTTTTCCAGTTTTTGAAACTTCGCAACAATCGTAAATAAATAATGAAAAATTTTTCAGAGTTGGTCTTGACGTTGATTTGAATTTAATACGAAAATTTTAACCATGATCATCTACTTTTTGTTCAATTTCTCAATCCTTTTCTCCTAAGTCAATCTATAATAGACAAATGTGAAAGATGAAAACGAAAGAAGAGAATGATAAATATAAAGTCATTTTCGAATATCAACTTAGAATTTTTCCACAGAGATAGATCTAAACAAGATAATTTAAAACTGTCACAATCAGCTACTCTTGTTAAAATCTCTTGTAATGCAAAATTTCATGTTGAGATTTAAAAAAATAGTGTTCGCACCATTCCCGAAACGACTACGAGATTGACTTTAAAAAGTGCGATAGAAATGTGTTACCGTCGCACCCATAAGTTAAGAATTTGAACTCTTTTTAGAGTGTAAATAGTGCATATAGCTACGACTCAAAAGCGATTAATCAGTTGCGATATATTCTTCATCAACTTGAATCATCTGATTTTCACCTAATATTTTACTTATAGGCATTTCTTACTAAAAGTAAATTTTTTACTTGAATTTTATAGAATCATCGTGTGACTTTTAGATCTATCAGTAAATAAGATATTCTCTCATTAAATCGAATTATTTATCAATGATAGTTTTTGATCACATACTATTTCAACAATCTATTAAATATGATAAAAACATATATTAAAGTCCTTTTGGTTTAACATAACAAGATTCATTTAAATTTTCTTATCGTTATGAGTGCATTTGTTATTCTAGAATCATTATGCTTGGGTATGACTGACAGTTTTTATAATCAAAGTAAATAAGTCTCTAATGTTATTGTTTTTCTTTTTCTCTCATTTTTCTTTTTCCTACTTTAAACTATTCTCTGTAAGTTTATTCTGATTCATCAAGAAATGTTTGTAATTTAACTGGTATAGTATAAGTACATTTGTATTTTCATCTTAATTTATAATTAATTAAATTTAGTTTATGGTATGGAAGATTAAACTATGTTTTTTTAATGTAAAATATTGTACTTTCTATCCTATTGCTATTATGAATAAACATTGTCAGCATGTGATGATTTAAACATACAAAATAGCTTGTTGTTTACAAAACAAAATGGTCTATTATGTCTAGTATTTTAATACCGTAAGGATGAAAAGTTTTTATTTTTCATAATTGTTTATCGTTTTAATCTAAGTTAAAATGACGATAAAACAAAAGTCTTGTAGAAAATAATCGAAGTTATATAAAAATATGATTTATAAAGTGTTGAAGTTGAGGAATAAAAATTTGAACTCTCTCACGAGTGTTATAATGAGTTATTCAATATTTGAAAGAGGACGTATGACTTTATTAAACTATGTAAGAATCAAATAGTCAATCGGTGATCAGTTCTTAGTAATTTTTTTTTTTGAAACAATGCCCATAACAGTTTTTCCATGACATGTTAACTCTCACTATACTTATTTAATAGTGAAAATCAAGATCGATCTCTTTAGATGGTTCTGTTATCATGTATTAAGAATTCTTGAACCATGTTGAAATCAGTAGTAATACTTATTTGACTTTTTAAATCATCGTGTAATAATCAAAACTACCCAATATTTCATTAAAATTGACGATTTGAAATTTTCATGTTGCTTTAAAAAATAAAAAACAAACATCACAATTCGTTTTTATCTGATCAAAATCTCTTCTATCAGCTCATTAGTAGTTAGTTAGCCGTTTTCAAGAATAATTTTAACATAGTAATAGAACCATTTAAAGAGGTCGATCTTGATTTTCTTTATTCAATAACTTCTTGAAAGTCCGAACGTCATCGGAAAACTTTTTATGTGCATCATTGCAAAAATAGTTACTAATCGAAACCAATCGTTTTGATTTTAGATTCGCGCATAGTGATATATATATATATACTAGCGAAAAATGCAATATCATTTTGTATTAATGTGTGTTCTCCATATCTAATTTTAATCCTACAAGATTTGCGCTAATCGCTTTATTTGTCTAATTTCAGAACTATTTTTTTTTGATATTTCGAGAAACACAATCTGATTACTTACAACACTTTGATTTAATATAAAATATGAATTTTTTTTGTTTTTGTTTTAGAATCAAAATCTAATACAAAATACGAATGGTTGATAATCTTTTTTTTTCAAAATGTGATAAACTATACTAAACACAGAAAACCAAAAGACAAATAATACTATCACATATTCAAAAAAAAAATCACTAATTGAATTTATTAAACAGGTCTATTTCAGATAAAAACTATCAATAAGATGCAACAATATACGGAAAAACCTCTAACAAATGGTGATAGATTACAAACAAAAACTAATCGAAAAGCTTTTGATAGTCAGACAGAAATAATATCTTTGAAAGATTCCGATAGCAAACATCATCATCATCATCATGGACATAATTCTCATCGTCATCATCATAAACATAGTTCTCACCATCATCGACATGGTTCTCATCATCATCGACATGGTTCTCATCACCATCGACATGGTTCTCATCACCACCACCACCACCATCATCATCGTCGTCCTCATCATCGTCGTTATTCATCTTCTTCATGTTCTTCATGTTCAGATTATTTTAGTGATATTCATCGAAATCATCATCATAATCACTCAATTAAATTACCACGAATTATTACACCACAACCATTAAAAATTATCACACCTACACCACAAAAAACTAATACATCAATCTATCGTGATATTGGTATTAATACAGGAAAAGAAACAAAAATTATGCGAGATTCAAGTGTAACAGTTGATTTTATTGATGCACCAAGTAAAGTTTTATATTTAGCATTCTTTTCCTTTTTTTTTGTTTTTGTCTATTATTCTATTTAGATACTGGTGATAGACGTCTTGAACAAATACCTGTTATTCGTCGTACAATTATTGTTGAACCTTATCCAGCACAACCAACATCACAAATAATTGTTAAACCACGTACAGATATGATTGGAAAAGTTCGTTTAGAAAAAAATATTCAAGTTAATAATAATAATGAAACACTTATTTATCCAACAACATCATTAATAACAAAGAAAATAAAACAAAAAAAAACAAATATTATTGATAATAATATTATTGAAAATTTAAATTTAGATGATATTAATAATAATGATGATGATGATGATTATAAGATGAAAAAAAGTCATAGAACAAAAATAATTAAAAAAATACCAAGTGAAAAAATAAAAAATGCTTTTTATAATTAAATATTTACTATGTAAATTTTACAGACTAAGTTTTTTTTTTTTTTTTTATATATATAATAATAAGAATATTTTTATAACAATTAATCTGAATACTTATTCATTAGAATAGAAATTGAAATGAATGAAAAATTGACTTCTTTTGAAAATATTATTTTTATTAAAATAAATTTTTATTAGGAATTAATAAGATGTGCAACGATACAAACTCTCATCGATTACAATTAATAATGAAAAGAAAAAATTGTCTAATAATAATTTATAAACAGTTGATCGATGTTTTTTGTTATTTTCGACTAAAATAAGGAAAAAATATGAAGAATTATTATCAAATAAAAGATCTGATTGATTTTTTATTTTTTTATTATTAATTACATAGACATCGGACAATTGATTTTATTCACTAATATTGTAAAACATAAAAAAAAAAAAAATTAAAATTCACAGTAGGATTATTATTAATCTGCATTGAGAATTCATAAATTATAACTTATATTGATCTTCAAATCGTTTGATTTATTAAGATTAAATTAACTGATTAGAAAAATATATTATTATTTTCTATATGTAACAGTTTGGTTTTTTGGTGATCGTAGATAAACAGATTCTCTTGTTTCACCTATTGTATCATTTTCTATTTCTCTTGTTGTTAGACCAGGTGCATTTCGATATGAAATAATTTTTTTTGGAATAGTATAAGCATTTGGTAATTGATAATATTCATCATAATTATCATGTTTTTCAACAATAACTTGACCAGGTTGAATTCGTTCAGATTTAATATTTGATGGTATTGGTGTTATCATATCAGTACGAATAGGTTTACGAGGTGATATATTACTTTTTTTATTTTGTGATGATGGTAAACGAAATGATTCTGTTTCATATCGATCTGATGTTATTGAAGGTTTAGGTGAAGTTTTAACAGGTGTTGTAGGTTTTTTTGGTGAAGATGGTTTTGTAATTTCTTTTATTTGTTCAGTTGGTTGAATAGGTAGAATAGGTTGAATAATTTGAATTGGTGGATTATTAGAATTTTGTGGAATAGGAGGTTTAGCATAAACAGGAACAGGATAGAGAACAGGTTGAATTAAATTTTGTTTAGGTTCAATTGGATGTCGTTTAATAGTAACATGTACATGTGATGATGGAAGTGTATTTTTTGGTGTTTCTATATTTGATGGAAATTGTTGTAATGATGGATCATTCGTACCAGGAATATGTCGACGAATCTTTAATGCACGTTTTCCATCATTCTCAAATGAATGATGAGATGGATAATCATCTGTTGGATAGGAATCACTTTCAGAACCTGAGTCATATGTATATTGTGATGCACGATCTGTCATTGAATATATTGAATCTGGAGTATATGGACGATTATCATAATAATAAGGATTTGGTGGAATATAAAAATTATTGCTAGGTGGTTGTCTTGGATCATTAATAGTAGGAGGATAATTAGCTAAAAAAAAAATTAATACTAATTAAATTATAAATTCATACATTGTCGTACTTGGATATGGAGCAGCCATGTTTTGATTGAATGTGTTGTTTTTAATAATAATAAAAAACAAATGTGTAATATTTTTCTTCGATGTTTTCTTTTTTTTTTTTGTCTGTTTGTTTTAAAAAGTGAAATGAAGTTGTTAGTTGACATTTTTTTTTAAATGCATGGTAACGTTTTCTTTTTTTTTTCTTGTCAATAAATTACAGAAGAGAGGAGAAAAAAAAGAATATGTTTGACTTTTATTTCAATCAATAACATTTTGGAATAGTTTCAAATTAAACAGAAAATTGCTGAGTATAAAATAAAATATTGTTATATGTCACAAATTGAGATGTATACGAGACAAATTTAACTTCTTAAATCGAAAAAGGATGGTATGAATAAGGGAAAGATTTAATGCCACAAGCACACTCTCAATTGTTATTGTTTTGATTTTAACAAAGCATGTCGAGTCGTCACATACATAATCCCAAAAATACAATCTATAACACTTTTCCATCATTTTCTACAAGCGTCCTTCATGGATACGATTTTTCGCATTCGAATATAAGTGAATCGACATCCATCAGATACTCTCATAATCCATAGTACAGATTTCAGAATTTATCTAATGTCTTTCTACTTCAAAAATCCGATCAATTTCGCTCACGATGGAACATCCCCAACTGTCAAATCGCTTTCAAGTCGAAAGTATGTGCTTCATGTAGGTTCTAATAAGCTATGAATACCCTGAAAAGGGTTCGTGCTGCTAGCTTATTACTATCGAGATATTGCATTTTTAAACAGAAAGGCATGATCTCCCTAAGGACCACTAGAAAACTGAGTTTCGAATTTCAACTTGAAACTTTGCATAGAAATAAGCCTCAATGAGAATAGTTTATTGTGAAAGTTTCAGATCTTTTGATTGCTTCTAGTCTGAAATAAGAATATCGGAATCTGCTCAGCGATTTTACCATAGCTGTATCTTCGAATAGGAACAATGAAAAGATCTGAAAGTTTCACAATAAACTATTCTCATTGATGCCTATCTCTCTATGCAAAATTTCAAGTGGAAGTTCGAAACTCAGTTTTCCTGAGGGGGATCACGGCTTTCTGCTTAAACATACAGTAAAAATGCAATATCTCGGTAGTAATAAGCTAGCAGCACATACGCTCGACTCAAAAGCGATGTGACAGTTGAGAATGTTCGCTCGTCAGTCTAAGTTTACTGGTTGCTGGAACGCAGTTTTGATGTCAAATGTCTTGCGTTTTATTCATCATGATAATATATGTTCACCTTTTTTTTGCTAGTAAAACAATATCACTGTTTCATTTTTATGATGTGTTCTCAAGTACAATAAATTATTCACTTCTAAATAACAGATTTTCTTCTAATTGTAATGACTTTGTTTTTTTTTTTTTTTTTATTAAATAAAATATACATATATGAAATTTGAGATTCATTTACAATGTTCCAATATTATCCATTAATAAAGCATCACGAATTTTCGTCATTAATAATGGATCATTACATTCAATATCTGTTTGTTTTGAACGAATAATAATTTTAGCTATACCTTGATTATAATTGATTTCAATTGTTCTATTTGATTGTTCATTATCATTTAAATCATTATCATATTCATTTAAATATTTAATATCTAAACCAAAAAGACCACTTTTAGATAGATTAATTAAAAATTTATCAATATCGATTTTTCCATATGTTATAAAATTATTTTGTTTTAAATTATTATTATCTAATTCATTTATATCATATATATAATCACACATATCTAAATGTCCATGTATACTAGCAATAGCTAAATTAGATGATAATATTAATTTTGGTTTAATATCTGTTTTAATATTTAATTGTCCATTAATAAAATAACGTTTTATTGATGGTAATTTAATATTATCATATTTTCTATATGATAATATATTTATTTTATCATTATTAATAATATCATTTAAATAATTTTCATGTAAAATTAAATTTTTTGGTCGTATTTTATCATTTAATAATATATTTATTTGTGAAAAATTTAAACGTGTATCAATAGGTAAATAATAACATTTCATATTTATTGGTTGATATGGTTTTAATGCATCAATATATGAATATTGATTATCAATAAAGATAATACTATTTGATGATGATGTTTTCATTTTTTCAATTAATTGTACTATTGGACCAAAACGTAATGATAAATGACCAGTAAATATAATAGATGGTTGTTCAAAATTAATTAATGTATCAGTATCATCTAAACGATCTGATGATATTGTTATTAAACATTTACTTTTAATTAATTCATTATGTTTAAATGGTGGTGTACCACTAAATGATGCTATTTGTCGTTGTTCAGTAACCCATTCAGACATAGCATTTGATATAGATAAAGTTGCATTACTTATTGGTGATATAAAATACATATGAATATTTAATAGATTAATTTGTTCAAAATAATTTGTTAAAAATTCAAACATATAAAAAATAAGACCTATAGATGAACATGGTATTAATATACTACCATGATCATTAAGAATATTTCCAATTTTTGTTGTTAATTCATTTGCATTTATACTTGCATCTATTGGTGTTGATAAATGACATAAATTTGATAAAAGTAAATAATCACAATTAATAAATGAATCATAATTAAATTTTGTTGGATATGTTTCTAATGTTGTACTTGATGACATATAAATAAAACGTAAAAGATTTGTTTGTATAGATGAAGTTTCAATTTTAGATGTTTGATTATGATTAACATTAATATCAAGTTGCCAATTACAACTACCTAGAATAATTCGAATATAATTTTTAGAAATTAATAAATTATATTTAACGTAGAAAGCTATCAATTCATATTTTTAACTATTCAAAATTATAGTGGCATATCCAGGATTTGTCGGTATGCTGGATTTCAACTTCAGAGCATGGGATCCATGTGAAACTTATAGAGATATGATATTGAGTACAAATGATGAGTTTTTATCAAAAGATTTTTGTAATTGAAGTTTGCGAAAAAAAATTCGCATTTTCCTGAGCCCAACCAAGATTTTTCTTTTTCTATTGGTAGTATGTTGATTTTCAGAGTTTCATAGTAAGCTACATCGAAATTCATCGGCAGATTTCAAATTTCATCTAAAAATATGCATCCATTCACGAGTTACAATGTTTTGAATTTTTTAAAAATTTTAGCAACATGCAGCAAATTTCCAAAACATTATAACTCATGAACGGATGCATATTTTTAGATGAAATTTGAAATCTGCTGATGAATTTCGATGTAGCTGACTATTAAAATCTAAGAATCAGGATACTACCAATAGAAAAAGAAAAATCTTGGTGGGACTCAGGAAAATGCTAATTTTTTTCGCAAACTCGAATTACAAAAATCTTTTGATAAAAACTCATCATTTGGGCCCAATATCATATCTCTATAAGTTTCATCTGGGTCCCATGTTCTGAAGTTGAAATCCAGCATGCCGAAAAATCCTGGATACGCCACTACAAAATTAGATCTGATTAAGAAAATAAATGTGGAGATGGTACATTGATACCTTATAGTAGCTGTTAGGATTAGTATTTTATTCAATGTACGAATTCGAACGCAACCCATCGAATCTAAAGTTTTCAGATTTTTAAATTGTTCCTTCGGAAGATATAATTTGTATTGAAGGTAGATTATCTACACGTTCATATTTGGAAATCGATAAAAAAAAATCATATTTTCTTCGAGCTGATCGTATGGGACTATGTCTAATAAAATTTGCATCGTATCTTTTTTTTTTATAAATGTTCTTCTATTGTAATGTATACAATTATAAATTAAATTCATTTATACAAGAAGCTATAAAGATTTTGAAAAAAAAGTTCATAGATTTTGGCAATGTATTTGCGCATGCTGACATCAATAAAGATTTCATACTTGCTGAATGTCGTTTCTAACCAATACAGTATGGATCATAGAAAAACTCGATATTGTATGGTTAAATCTTAAGATAGAAACAATGAAAAGATCTGAAATTTTCA